AGTTTATCAAGAAGTATAATTGGATCATCTTTGGCTTAAACTAGGAGGATGGGTTTTTATCATGCTACATCTGTTCATTAGCTATCCATGCCAGGCCATGTGTATTACCATTGCAAGTCTTTCTTAAAAGTCACTGTTAGGAATTTTGCTGTCATGGGGTTCAGTCTAGGATCTGCCTTCATTAATGGAAGGCCTCTGCTCAAAGAAGCTGCTGCTGCTTGATTTCCAAGGAACCTCCCCCGCCCCCTTCTATTCCATACCACAGTTCACTCCGTTCAGCTGGGAATGGATACTGGGAATTCTAATCCAAAATATATGAAGGGGACCAGGTTGGAGAAAGCTAATTTAGTGCACTCCCCCTCCCCTGCAATTCCAATATTTCATGTCAAATTCCTGGGATTTTTTAGAACCAAAAACCAACATGGTGTACTTTTTCAGCTTACTTTTAAAATCTTACTTGTATTGAGTAAGCTGGCTAAGTGGCACCACTTTCTAATGATTTTCCTCTGCAAACTGAAAATGTCCTGATGTAAACTGACATTTTTCTCTTGCAAATGACCTTGTTCAAGTAAGCCTAATTTCCACTGGAACTTCTTCTGGAAATTTCGACATGTTCCAGTTACACCGTATCACTGGCTATGCCTTTAACTATAGGAGGTCTGGGTAGCAGACACCACTGAGGTATGCGTGTTTCTGAGTCAAAAACAGAGTCACAGAGTCAAGAATAGAAATTAGCAAATACAAATCTTAAGGAAGCAATCTGACTGGAGCATGCATAAGCCCCAGATTCAGAGGCTTACAGGCTCTTGCTTTGACTACTATTCTGACTTCCATTCATAGAAGAAATGTGGGATATAATAAACAAGTAGGTCCTCGACAAACTGGTGCAACATGGCATGCTCATGTTCAGGATTTAAGCCACTTGCTTTTCCAGAGGACTCCATGCCAGAAGACATCCAGCCAGCATTCCAAGATTGCGGAGCATGCTCAATCCCCTCTAAGCTTTCATGTCTTTGCTCAGTCTTCTTTTCTCAAGGTCGAACATGCCCACTTCTCTGTCTCTTCTCACAGGACAGTGTTTCCAAACCCTGGATCATCTTTGTTGACCTCTTATGGACCCTTTCCAATTTTTCTGCATCTCTCTTAAATCTTGGTGCCCAGAACTAGACACAGTATTCTAGATGAGGTCTGATTAGTAAAGAATATAGGAGAACTATTACTTCCCTTACTTCCCATGATTTAGAAGTAATACTTCTATTAACGCATCCCAAAAAAACATTTGCCCTTTTTGTGGCTGCATCACATTGTTGGCTCATATTTAGCCTGTTGTCCACAGTAACTCCATTGTCTTTTTCAGTTCTGTTGAGCCACATATTCCCCATCTTGTGTTGATGCATTTGGTTTCTTCTTCCTAGATGGAGAACTTGGCATTTGTCCCTACTGAATCTCATTCTGTTGCCTTCAGCCCAGCATTCCAGCTTATCAAGAATGCCCTGGATCTTCAGGGCGTTCACTATTCCACCCAGTTTTCTATATCTGCACATTTGATTATGGTTCCTTGTACTTCCTCATCTAAATCATTAATAACAATGTTGAAGAACAGTGGGGCTAGGACCGAACCCTGTGGCACCCCACTAGTTGCCTTTCTCCAGTCTGAGAAGGTACCATTGATGAGTACACTATGTGTCCTATTTAGCAGCCAATTTTGGATCCATTTAATAGCTTTTCTATCTAGTTCATTTTTTGCTAGTTTGCTTATCAGGATGTTGTGGGGCACTATGTCAAAAGCTTTGCTAAAGTCAAGGTAGAGTATGTTCACAGTGTTTTCACTGTCCATTTGGGAGGTTATGTCATCAAAAAATGAGATTAAATTAGTCTAACCAGATTTATTTTTGATAAATCAATGTTGGCTGTTATTAATCACCGCATTCTCTCTGAAGTGCTTGCAGCTTTATTTTTTTTAATAATTTGCTTCAGAAACAGGGACTTCCTGGTTCAGTGCCCACATTCTTGACCTTCTGCCTGATATCAACTGCCCTGCTCTATCCTTTAGCTAATCAGGTAGAGGAGCTGGACTTGTAATGACAGTGGGACAGTGTCTCCACTTGAGGCTCCCTGAAGCCCAGGGTAGATCCACTGCCCCAGTGACACTGGAAGCAGTAGCCACTGTTACAAGCAAAATGTCTTTCTTGCCATTTAAAGTTGTTGGGAAGATGAGCTTGCTGGTTGAATTGGACTGCAGAGAGCCCAAAACACAGTTCCCCCATGGGTGTTATTTTAGAACCCATTTATTTCACTGCACACGGCAGTCTCTTCTCCCAAGACAAGGATCCACAAATTATATTCAGAATGGTTGAGATGAAACAAAAGCATGTGGAGAGACATAGGCAGTTATATACATCCATTCCAGCATAAAGGAGAGGAGGGGAGCTGTAAGCCAGGAACTGGCAACAGAAGACACTGCTGATACACTGCTACTGATCAAATGCTTAAGGAGAATGGATAGGCAAAGGCCAGACAGTATTATTTAGACTTCAAAGTGCATTTCTGTGTGTTTTATGTTGACTATGTCAATGGAAGACCCACAGCACAGAACATGTTAGCAGATATAGTGTATTTTTCCTCTCTGAGTGACAGAACTGGTCCCCCCCCCACACACACACACACATCCCCTTTTCATGCTTGCCCCTTGTAGCTTATATTTTGGGACTCATCCAGGAATTATACCCCTGCCTAACAGTGGCCAGCACTTGATTAAATGCACTCATACTGTTACTCTGTCTATCTCTACAACTGCAATAACAAAAATCTGGTGGCCATCTGCCTGTCCAGATGCTTGCAATATATACTTGGGAACAGGTGACCTTTTGTTGAAAAAAGGAATATATTTTTAAAGTAAAAGTAGTAAAATGGGTATCTCCCAGACTTTCAATTTTTTTAAAGGAAAAAGAGAGAGAGAGATTGCCAGGTCTATTCCCCACTGTTGCCATCTTGCTCCACTGGCTGGGTGGCTGTTCGTGGGCTCTGGTGTTGCCGTGTCCTTGAATTCAGCCCCTGCCTGAGCCTCACCGCTGGGCACAAATATCCACACAAGGTTTGCTGCAGGGACTTCTGCATTGTCCTTGTTGGGACATATGACACTGCCCTATCTCCCTAACCACGCACCTCAGCATATGTCAGGTCCTCCTTCCTGCTCGTGAAGATAAGCAGAATTTTTTGGAAAGCTATCACAGCAGCTGTTCCTGAATATTTTTGTGAAGTCCCTGGGCCCTCAGGGAAGCCACACAGAAAAGGGTCCCCTCAAATGATCTTAATGCACAGCCAGCTTGACAGAAGAGGCATGGGGAGATTTCCATTTAAAAAGCTGCATATATGTTGCAGTACAATCTTGCATAGCTTAACTGAGATGGAATATACCTTTTCCTGCAACAGGGGACAAAATTAGCCCTTCTCCAGTCATCCAGCACTTCTCCTGTTTTCCATGATTTATCAAAGATAATAGACAGTGGTTCTCAGAGTTCCTCCTCAGCTAGAAGGCTCTGGGATGGAGTTTATTGGGCCCAGGAGATCTAGACATGCTTCTTCCATCTGGATATTCCTTGACCATTTGGTTGCTGATCTTGGACTGTCATTGCTCACTTTCAGCTTGTACTTCCTCATTGTTCTAGATTCTCTTGTGGGAGAAGACTGAGGCAACTGAGCACCTCTGTCTTTCCTTGTAGTCTATCACTTTCCCATCCACTTTAAATAGCTGGACACCATTCTCTTTCACATGTTTTTTGTTCTGGATGTATCTGAAAAAGGCTTTGTTGTTCTTAGCATCTCTCACTAGTCTCACTTCATTTCCTGATTTGCCTTCCTGATACCGTCCTGCAATTCCTTGCTATTTCTTTATATTCTTCCTTTGTGGCCATGCAGGATCTCAGGATTGTTTACAAAGGAAAAACAAAGAGGAGCAACAACAATAAAATCAACAAGAGACTTGACATGCAATACACTATATATAATAATAATAATAGTAATAAAAAAACACACACAGTTAAAATACTGAGTAAATAAAAATTTTAGCCTGGTGCCAAAATGAATAAAAGGTTGCTACCAGGCATTGCCTTTCTGTTGTCTGCAATGTCATCCTGCTGCCTGAAGCCTTTTCCCTAGCAGTGCTGTTGGAAAGGCCTCAGACTACTGTGGATTACACAGTGGTGCTTGTAGCACCTGCAGAGAAGCAGAAATAGCTCTGTGGGAATGATGCTTAGGGCAATCATAAAGAATTGTTCTGGGTGGTCTATTGATAAGTTTTGCTTAATGATCTCACTTATACAAATGAAGCATTTACTCTTTAAGTATAGGATGGACAAAGTTGAATGGGGAAAGATTGTGCCTGGGCAAGGGGAGATTTACTATGTGTGTTGTGTTAGAAAAGGGAAAAATGTCTACTATGCTCTTAATACAAAAATAATTATTATTTCCAAATTAGAACTTATTCCTATAAATTGTGTTTGCTTTAGCTTTCCCTAACCGTGAACTATTCTCTCTACCTGCCTCCTGATACTGTTGGGTATGTATATGCCTTCTGTTGTTTGTTTGCTTGTTTGCTTTCCCTCTTTCGTAGACCACTACAATATTTGTTTCAAAGGGGAAGCAATATATAGACAGTTAATTCATAACATCTGCATGTGCAACTGTTATGCAAACTGGTAACCTCTCTCGTTCTGTTTTTTGTGAATGCATTTACTCTTTTTTGCGACATGTAGGCACCCACCGTATCTGGAAGAGATCGACTTCTCCGGTCTCCTAGCAACAACAATCGAACCACATTGTTCCTGTAGTGCGTATAAAAAGTCTAAATATCTCTGAAAAATGAAACAACAGTATACATGGACAGCCGCCCGACCATAGAGATGGAACTCTCTCGCTTAGAAACTTGACGAAGCGGACGAGGAGAGCCGGAAGCAGGACAGACGACTTCCGGGGGAAGCGAGGCCCTGGGGTTCCGGCCGGCGTGAGTGAGCGAGTTTGGCTTTTTTAAGATGGCGGCAGCGGCGGGCTTGGAGTTCCAGCGTGCCCAGTCTTTGCTGAGTACCGACCGGGAGGCCTCCATCGGCATCTTGCACTCCATAGGTGAGGTGGACCCGCTGAAGGGCAGAAGGCAGGCGGGCAGAAAGCGAGCCAGGCTGCGGAAAGTGGAAGGGGATTGGAGAAGGGCCTGGGCTGCTTGGGTCGGGTCGGGCTAGAGACGCTGCTGACTCACCGTGAGCAACTCGGAAGGAAAGTGGGAGCCAGCGGGGTAGAGAATTTGGGAGTGAGGTTTGATGGGACGGTCTGAGGGGGCTCTCGTCGCTTCTTTGAAGTGGGGAAGACAGGTCTGTTGTGCGAGATACCGATAAGCCGTTGGGGACTGAGCTAAGTTACTCTGGTACCGCAAGCTCATTTTTTGCTCTGCCGTGCCACGGAGGAGGTGAGAAGTCGAAGCTGAGTGGGAAAGACTTACTTGAAAGAAACTAGTAAGATGTTTATTTTTTTCCTCTGTCCCACTTTTTTTTCCTGGCCTGTTCTCTGGCATGGTAGGCAAGAAAATTAATTATCCTAAGTTTTCCTTGATTACTGGTAGAGCTCCCCAATTTTCATCAGTGTTAGTTACATTACAGTTCCCACACCAGGACCAATGCGCTCACCCACTTGACTTGTCTTGGGTGAAAAAGTAGGAACAGGACTGAAATTTGAGAAGAGACTGACACTAAAGATAAACTAATGGACTGTTGTGTAGGGGGATTTAGAACAGTTTTTCTCCATGTATGCTACTGGTGGGGCAAATTGTTCATTTTCTACCTAGTCTACTTTTCTGTTAAGGTAGGCTTGTATTGTTTGTAAGCTTGTAGAGTTGCTGGAACACCACTTTAGCAGCTTAGTATGTGATGCTTATCCATGTGTCACAAAAAGCTATTCTTGGCTGATTTTTGACTATCACAACTCTGCTAGTCGCAAGAATGAGTGTAGCTAGTCAGCAGTTTCCCTAATAGGTGCTGTCACTTTGTGGAAAGAGAAAGCATGAATGATGAAGAGTTAGTTTTCAGGGGGACTATGATGCTTATTTGAAGTGGAATGGGAGTTGGAAGCATAGGGAGCAAATCTAAGTGATGTCTCCTTTGAGAAATTGGAGTGATGAGGTGGTGATAGAATGGATGTGGATGTAAATGGAAAAACAGCATGGGCCATACTGCTGCAGAGTTGTGGACAAACCACCTGTGGAAGGTGCCTGACATCTCCCTGCTTGTGAGAGGATTGCTGCTTGATGTTTGCTATGAAAGTTAGCAAGGGGTGGTATCTGTGAATTTGTGCTTGTCCACCTCCTTCCCACATCAATTAGATATGAAATGTACCCAAGATGTGGTGATGGCTTTAAAAGGGGATTCAACAAATCTATGGCTAGTAGTCCTGCTAGCTTTGTGTGAACTTCAAGTTTAGAAATATTGCTTTGCTAAATGCCAGCTGCTGAGAGTAACATCAGTAAAGTGCTACTTCTATCATGTCTTGATTATAATGCTGCTTAGAGGTACCTGCTTGGCTGGTGTGGAAAGTACAGTGCTGGACTAGATGGGCTATTAGTCTGATCCTGCAGGGATTTTCTTATGTCATTCTTATATAATATATTATTTGAGTAAAGAAGTTGATTTTCTATGTTCAAACACATACCAAGGAAGCATGTTTCCTGATCAGGGAATAACAGATAAACTAAGTTGCTGGCAAAGAATTTGAGGATGTCCTCATTTAGGTTTATATTTAGGAATGGTATTGGGAAAGAAGTAGGAATGGCTGTGATTCAAGAAGTTTGAATATTCCGAAGCCTCAACTATTGGGGGGGGGGGGGTTATGTTGGATTGCTAGAGAATGTGAGCAGCTCCTGACTTATCCCTTGTGAGGCCTTCTCTGACTCCTCCAACCACTTTAAAATGTGCTCTTGCTTCTCTTCCAGACATGAACCACACTTCTTTAGGTAATGATAAATAAAACACAGCCTTCAGACATCTCTTTCCTCAGACAGCATTAGCCTGAAAACACCTCTTGTTTTAGAGGATATTAGTTTATGTGAGCTTGGTATAAACTAGAGAAAATAAGTACCTGATAAATTACAATTTGTTATAGCCTCTATCCAATTCACAAGGTTTTCTATACCTTTTCATTTTCTACTGTTAGGGACAAGGCACTTGGTGTTTTTTTTTTTTTTTAAAGATGCCCATCTCCGGGAACTGTACCTCTTAGGTGTGTTTGATTGTTACTGTCAAATTCTGAGATATGCCTAATATTTTGGAAAGAGAAAGTTGTTGTTGTGGCCTACTATTCCTACTTTGGAGAACTCCTCTTTATGCCTAGAACAATATAGTCCTAGTAGAACTGCTTCAGGTAACTTGGACATCTCTGTATTTCTCCCTAGCCCTGTGTTTCCATGCTATCAGATGCAGGTGATAATTTCGCTATGGCTTCCATTATCACTTGTCGCAGGAAAAACGGGAGATGTAATGAGAAAAATCAATGTCCACCTTTTGAACATGTAAACAAAATGGGAGTTTGCAATAAGGATGTCGGTTGTTGCTTGATAATAGTGTGAAATCAGCTGTCAGAGTTACTGAAGCCAATCCTTCATGCTTGAAATACAGTTCATAGTTTCTGTTTTCTTAGTGTCATAAACATTGCTTGCTACACAGTACAGGTAATAAGAGAGTCCTAAAAAGCAGACTTGATGGCTTCTCTGAATACCAGTGGATTTAGTGCCTGGTCTTTCATGCAATAACACTAAAATTAGTGGCATTTCTACTCTCCCTGGGGCTAGGAAGCTTTGAATGCAGTGACTTATTTATTGTATCTGGTGTCATGCTAGAGAGCAAAAGAAATTTTATTTTACAGTTGTGGCTATCTGTGCTGCTGCTGTGATCACATCATGCCAAGTAGGCTGAATGAGATCAGATACCTAATAAATGTAATATTCTTTTTCCTGAGCTGTCTCATAGCACTGTATTTTTCTGCTTCATGTCAAATACCTGTGGATTATAATCTGTCAGGCAGTTGTTTCTTGTGGGCCAGCAGTAAGTTTAATTTTAGAATGGTGAAATGGGGGTTAACAGAAATAGTCCTTGATTTGATAAAGGCATGTCTTTGGTCAAAACATTTGTTCTTCTAGTGAAACGTGATGTTCAGGAGAATGATGAAGAAGCAGTGCAAGTCAAAGAGCAAAGTATCCTGGAACTGGGGAGTCTTTTGGCCAAGACAGGACAGGCAGAAGGTAAATGTCTTGTTTAAATAATTTAATGAGACTGCATCTTCAGCAGTTTTTTTTCCTGAAATCAAACATCAAAAATGTAGTATTTTGCCATAATGATGGTTTTCAGCACAGGATATTACTCCCCCCACCAAAAAAATAAAGTTGGTTTTAACTGAAAAGTCATCTTGTTTAACTCCTTTTCTGTTTCTTTCCACCTGATGCCCCCAGTTCAACACTGGCCATCCAGTGCTGATCACTCACACATCAGTTTTGTACATAGCAAACACAAGCAGTTGAAAAAGAAATGGAACTACTAGTCTGGTTGACTGAGTTGGAAATATTTGCTATTGGCACAAGGTGCTCTGGATTCCTTCCATACCTTGCAGTCCCTTAAAGTTTGAGAATCTAGGATAGATGGTCTGATGTTGGAAGTTTACCATGTTAATCCTGTGTTTATATGAAAGAGGCTTTCTTTGGCTTTGTAGTACGTCCTGTTCTAGGTGATAAGATGAGCCCAGCATTGTACATTTGAGTAAATTTGGCTATACCGTCCTAGTCATCAGACAAAGCAGAGGTAAATGTGCAGATGTCTGAAGTGGGGATTTAAGTCAGAATGAGAACAACACTGTAACTGAATATAACAATGTTGCAGTTTAGATGCTTAGTCAAGGAACCACAAAAATGTTCTGTCAGATGGTAATTGGTCTTGTGGTACTTAACACTTTGCCCCATATTGTACCAATCTGGATTTCCTCTCACCCCTGGTGCTATTTAGTCAAGAAAAATAAGCAAGTAAAGGACAGCCATGTCATTAACATATCTAGGTGAGTGCTTAGTGAACACTTCACAAGCACCTCTTGTTGTGATTTGAGGAGTTGAGATACTTCTCCAAATCCTACATACATAAGTCTAAAAGCAATAATTGTTTGGGGCATGATTTTTCTCATGGTGGCATTAATGCTGGAGAATATGTACTCCAAGAAGGCCCATCAAGCAGTGGTATTACTTAACTTTAATGGGTTCTTAACATACTTCCAAATCAAAGAAAGTTTCTGCACTACAAAAAAATCTAGCCCTTCTCTCTTCACATACACAATGGTAATTTGGATCACATAGAATGAAAATGACACACAAAAATGGTTTTCTTCCACTTTATAAAACCTTATCTGCCTGCAAACTTTCTTATTGACTGTGGGCTACCAGGTGAGTGGTTGTTTGTAGCACTTTGCATTATTTTCCTCTTGTAGGGATTGCTGATGTTATGGCATTAAGAAAATATTAAAATAACTGCTTGAAGAAAATAGAAAACAATATTGAAATAAATGTCACAAGGGAGCATGTGCCAACTACAAATGATGTAAAAGAACACTTTGAAATTAGAATGGGTACTAGAATTAGTATGTGCCTCTGCTTTTTAAGATAATGAGCTGATAGAGTATATAGCACCATCTCTGGAATGTGAGCATCGGCTTCTGTAGTGCATTCTGGTACAAATTCCTGAGTTATGCTGGTACTTGACTATTTTGTTTTTAATGCAGAGCTTGGAGGACTTCTGAAATATGTGCGTCCTTTCTTGAACTCCATCAGCAAGGCAAAGGCAGCCCGTCTCGTTCGATCCCTTCTAGATCTGTTCTTAGACATGGAGGCAGCAACAGGACAAGAGGTGGGACAAATGAAATTCCTGCCACTTACAAAACAAAGTGTCCATGGCTACTTCTTGAGTGTTCTTTTCTAGCTGGTCATATCCAATGGGAGGTAGTCAGATGTTCTGTGGAATATTATCATCAGATTGAAAGATTGAATTTGGGTTCTTCTTTTAGGTTGACCTATGTCTCGAATGCATTGAATGGGCCAAATCAGAGAAGAGGACATTCCTGCGCCAAGCTCTGGAGGTAAGGTGTGATATGTATCCAAGTAACTTTATTTAGTTAAGCTGTGCACACTAGTATCTCACATGTTCGATGGATCTGGAAACATGTCTTATCAGCTAGTGCTCTATATTCAAATGCCTATCTTTTTATGTTTGCCTGCATTGCATGACCAGATTATTGCTGACATGTTTCCAAATTTCTCAGATGGTGGTTTTGTGTGAGATACTTCACTATTGACTGCTCAGATTTCATGAAGCCTTGCATCTCTGCCAGCTTCTCCCATAGTTGTGTTGCAAACCTGTGTTACTTTTTAAAACTTCTATTCAGTTGTGGATCAGTCACTAGTGAGTATATATTAGAAGAATGGCAAAGACCAGACAAGTTTTTACAACATTGGTCTCTTCCTTCCTGTTTGTGTGTATTGATTAGAAAAGTGATGGTTTTACCTGGTTTGAACTGATGTCATGTGTGGAAGTAAGGAATGGGAGATAGTTCAGGCAAGTTAACAGTGAAGTGTGTGGCCTAAGCATCTTGTTAATTTTTACTTTTTGCTTCTTGATTCCCTGCAAGATGATTTGCAGTTGTTTCCTTTATGTTTTCAATTCAGTTTTTTTTTATCCGAGCGCCTCTCCCTGATTCGGAAAGAGCTTCCCCATCAAACTCACTATTTGTAGTGTAGAGTGCCTCCTAAACCACGATGCATTCTGTCTACTTCCTTTTTTCTGCTTTGTCCTATCTGCCTTAAACTGTAATCTTTCCCACCAAGGACCTGTTTTATGTTCCATGCTCGCAGCATCTCTGTAAATATCTAGTGTTCATAGAGTAGTTTCACTGAAATGTATTGTTTACCTTTCCTTCTAGGCAAGGCTGGTTTCTTTGTACTTTGACACTAAAAGGTATCAAGAAGCACTGCAGTTAGGTAAGTTAACCACCAGCTGTTACATAAGAATTTGGCTTCTATATTGATGAGCAAATAGGTCACACAGGTTGGAAAAGTTATTAATTTTATATAGTAAAGCTTCCAAGCAAATTTACAGAACTATCAGAATTATAGACATATCTTGCCTTCCTGGTCTGCAAAGTTATTCCCACCAGCACCTCTAGGCATGGTCTTTGCCATGGTGACCCCTTCCCTACATTCTGAGCTGCAGGCAATGAAGCAACAGCAAAGAGGACTAGAATGCAAATGGAGGAAGAATTGGGCTGAGTTCAAGCAAACACAATTGAACTAAAGTTGATACTCTGAAGATAAAATTGCTTGTATCTGTCATGAATTGCACACCACATGGAGTTCTTGTTGTAGAGGAATCCGAAACTCTGACTAGTCTAGATTTATTGCAAGTCCAGTTAAACACCTATGTCTTTGCCTTTCATGGTTTATTACATGAGGGGAAACCTTGCTGGATCCAGGAAGTTGTATATTACTACTTGGGAGAATACACAGTTTATCTACTGATTGATACTTTAAGTTGCCAACATCCCCTTCCTGGGTTAAGGTACTCAAACAGGTCATTGGTAGATAACAGAGACATTCTTGCATTGATTCATTTGGTTGGAGTTCAGGGTTCAGTAGAAATTGCCTTCACTGGGTGTTAGAGGAATTGCATTAGATGGCCAATTCCAGAAGGTAATGCTGGGAGATTATCATTTTGTCCCTTGGCAGTTATGCTGTGAGTTTTCACAGAGTTGTTTTATATGCCATGCTGTCCAAAATTGACATGAAGCCGCTGGGGAAAGATATCCAGAAATATGGACTGTGATGTCACCAGTATGCAAATGACACCCCACTCTATTTCCCCTTCATCAGTTCCAGATGTGGAATTGTGCATGCTCTGAATCAGTATGGTGATAGATTGGATGAGGATCCATAAACAGATTCAGTCCAGACAAAGTGGAGATACTGCTAGTGGGTGCTTCTTCTGCCCAGATTAGTAATGTTCAACTGTCCCAGAGGGTGTTGCACTCCCCTTAACGGTTCAGGTTCAAAGCTTGATGTGTGCTCTTTGCTCCAGCATGGAGATACACATGGTCTTGGTGGCACACAGCACTTTTATCAGCTCAGGATGATTTATGAACCACAACCAGTCTGGACAGAGATAGCCAGGTACAGTTAACAGTCTGGCAATACCTTATCCGGAATACATTATCTTGCCGTGCTGCCTTTGAAGATGGTCCAGAAAGGTCAGCTGGTTCAAAGTAAGGGAAAAAGATTGTTAACAAGGACTGCCCAGTTTAATCATATTATGACCAGTGCTGTCTACCAGTCTATTTCTGGGTCCAATTCAAAGTATTCCTTTTAACATGGAAAACCTAAATGGTTTGCTGCCAGGTTACCTGAAGGAAAATCTCTTTACAAACGTACCTGTCCAGACCCTAAAATTATACCCAGAAGCTCTATTTTTTGTGCCCTCTCTAAATGATATGAGGCATGTAGGAGTAGGCCTTTTCAGTTGTGGCGTTATAGTTGTAGAATGCCCTACTGTACCTGGTGCCTACATTGTGGGGTTTTTCAGCCAGGTGAAGTCACATTACAATATGGTCTTTTTGAACTAGGTGAAATTTTTATTAAGGATTTTGTAGTCCTTCAGTTTTAAAAATTCATCAGTGCATTTAAAAACTGTTAGTGCATTTTAGATCTTTGCTCTGCTGCTTGCTCATACATTGGTTTTTAATTTGGTTTCATTCTCTTTTGAACTTAAAAGATTTTCAGTCATGTAGTCTTTTATTATTTTAAGTTTAGCTTTTGCTATTCACAGTATAGGAATTAATTCTACAGGAGTTTATTCACCAGGCAAGTTCTTCTCCATCCATGACCTAATTTTGTGTGTCACATTAGTACTGAAAAAGAAGATACAGATTTGTATTCATACCAAACATATTGGCTTTGTGCGTGCCTACTCGTCCTCTTTGTTGTTTAGGCAAGTTCTGAAGCCTCTTGTTCTATCACATAATGTTTATTTGCCCAGTGATCTTCACAGCTCTTGTTTGATTCTAGTGTGTCACATCAAAACCTGCACTTTGATTGTATATATTCCATTGAAGGGTCAAGATCAGGAGTATTTGAGAATCCAAAGAAAGGCTTTTACATTGGGTAAAAGAGGATTTCTCAATTCTGTCACTTTTGTCAGGCTCACAGCTTTTGCGGGAGTTGAAGAAAATGGATGATAAAGCTTTGTTAGTGGAAGTGCAGCTGCTGGAGAGCAAGACCTACCATGCCTTGAGCAACCTGCCAAAAGCAAGAGCAGCATTAACCTCTGCCAGAACTACAGCCAATGCAATCTATTGCCCACCTAAGTTGCAGGCAGCGCTGGATATGCAATCAGGTAAGTGACCCAGGTAGTATGTGTGCCATATATGCTTTCTGTATGTGGCCTTATTGCTCTTCGATGAGTTCCTCTTATGACAAACATTGCAGTAGTGTGTACGTCACCGTGCTTCTGCACTTGCTTGATCATGAAACATTCTTTTCCACCCTTGTGTCCCCAGATGTTGATGGATTGCAACTTCCGTCACTCCCAGCCAGCATAACCAATGATCAGGAATGCCTGGAGTATCAGAATGTGAGATCTAACACATCTGGGGACCCAAAGTTACAGAAAATGGGTTTATCCTGTCTTATAGGATAAGTTACAAGCCACAGAAGAACATGACAAATTTATGTAAGGGGTTTGCTGCTTTGGAACAATCTGTCTACAAAGAATCTAGCTATCTGTAGTTATTTGAAAAGGGCTTGAATAGGTAGTTATCAGGAATGTTGTAAGTGCCTGTCTTGAGTTGGGCGAGCTAGGTGATTTCTTCGTCTCTTGCAGCTTGGATTCCAACTCTGATAAAATACTGAAGTATAGGTATGAAGAAATGTAGTAAAACAAAATACTGAGTTCTTGATTAATTGTTCTTTGATGCACATTGCACAAGATGACATCAGACCTCACCAAAGCTCAGAAGAGTGGCAAAAGAGAATTGATAGGTTTATAGAACATTTAAGCAAAAGTACTAAGAATTTAGAAACACCAAAGTGATCAAATCTGTTAAGCAATGCTTTTTTTTTCACCTGAGTGGTGTGTGTGTCCCCATCTCCCCTCCCTCCCTCCCTCCCTCAATCTGACGTTCTGGTTCACATGGTCATATTCAGGAGAAACCTTGACTATTTGGGTAAAATTGTGCATAAGTAAGCCAATGTATATTAGCTTGCTTTTGTGCAGAATGAGGGTTTTATGGAACTGGCTGAGCTAATTCAGTAATTTTATTAAATGGGTTGTCTTTACCAAAAAAGAAGTGAAGTGGGGAGGTGACACTTCAAGACTATCACCCTGTGTGAACTGGTGAATCAAACTTTTCAGTCATGTTTTTCCCATCTGCTGTCTTACAGGTTAATCTGTGGTGGTCTAACTTGAGCTTCTTCTTTATGTTTACTTTCCCTTTTAATAGGCATCATTCATGCAGCTGAAGAAAAGGACTGGAAGACTGCATATTCTTATTTTTATGAGGCATTTGAGGGTTATGATTCCATCGACAGCCCCAAAGCCATCACGGCATTAAAATATATGCTGCTGTGCAAGATCATGTTGAACTCGTATGTAGCTAATTATATCAAAAAATGTTGATTATATTGCAACAATCCATTGTCCACCCCACCCCTTTGCCTCCTGTGCTTCTCTTAAACTCTCCTCTGAATCTGTGCGCACTAGCTATGTGAAAGAAAGGAAATCCCTTGAAGTGTGAAAAAGCCTCTGGATTCTGAACTTTTCATTTTCTAAATGAGTGAAACCCTACTAGCTACCTCCAAGTAGTATTTGGGTCTCAGAGGAGGCAGAGATGCTGTTCGAGGGAGAGCAAGACTTTTCACTTGCTCCTAACTGCAAAAAACAACAGAGAAGTGATAGTCTTACTATTCAGTAGCATATACAAATGTCATCCTGTCCTGAATGTTGAGGCATCAGCATGAATGCCATTCTGGGTTGTGGGTTTTCTTTTTATGGTACTTGGTTCTGCAGTGATTGTTTACAGATGATCTCTATTAATGCATCTGCCAGATCCACAAGGGAGCTTCAAGTAGTGTTCATTCAGGACTTTGTTTCATTCTTTTGGATGTCTCCAGCATATATGTGAGTTGGTATTTCTGTGGAATGCAGGGAATATGGAGCTTTGCAGAAAGCAAGGATTGTGTAGTATTTTGTACTGGTGGCCTGTGTTCAGAGATACAGAAAATCAAATCTTTCTTGTATTCTGTCTTTCCAGGCCTGAGGACGTGCAGGCATTGGTGAGTGGGAAGCTTGCCCTGCGGTATGCAGGCAGACAGGTATAGAAATGTTGAGCTATCTTTCTGATCCTTGGAAAATCTTGACATTCTAGCTACCGGTGTTCGTTTTTCCATTTGGAACCTTCATATGGCCCATAATTACAGCTTGATGGTTCTCTATTCTTCCAAGTTGGAATACTTTTGTCTTTATGACCTATTTGCCTTAGTTTGTTTCTTTCTGTAATTTAACAGCTGTTTTGGTTAAGTGATTGCTCACAGAATTAAACAGACTTTTAATATTCTTGTTGAGGCATTTTTCTGAATTCCTTCCTGACCCCCCTAAAGCAGCAGTGGGCAGAAAGTAGATTTTCACATGTTATTCTTTGTGGTCTCTGTGCATCGTGCATATGGGCTCTGGACACATGCATGGATCTAATTCGGGAAGATTCCAAAGCTGATAAATTCGGTGGGAGACCAGCCTCTGGACATGGCCAGTGTGAGGGGAGAGGGTCCCACCAAGATCTCAGTTCTTTAATCACCATTGTGTGTGCATCGGGAAGTTCTTCCTCTGCTACTTACCTCTCATTGTTGCCTCTTTGATTCTTCTTAGACTTTATATCACCTTTCAGCTTTTTCTGCATGGTGTTTTCCTCTTCTGTACCAAGCCCCCCCCCCCGCCAATTATTGCATTTTTCCCACTTTTTCCCTGCTTTTACCAGCTGCAGTTGGGTGGAATGTGGCAGCAACCCACCCAGACCCTCGTGTGATCTTTCACACACCACTGAGGACATTGGACAATTTTCTGACCAACTCCTCATATGGCACACAGTTGAGGGCTCAACCCCTGACAAGAACCTGCAGAGCAAAAGACTCTGTCTTTGTGGTAGTCTATACAGAAACCACTGGTCCTGTCACCATAGCCCTCTAGCCAGCTGTGTTTGATGAGGTACATCATGGAAATAGTGAGTGGAAACTGCTGGCATCAGTAATGCCGCCATCCTGACAGCTTGAAAACACGTACCAAGTATGGGAGAAGGACCTGAAGTTTCTGTTGAAGTACCCACAGCCCAACTCTATTATTATGGAGCCCATCCAGGAGAGAACATTCCACCCCATCAGACAATGAGGGTTGGCACCTTGACACAGTCGGCTGCTGCTTCTATCCATCTGCTGCACTTTTCATTAAATGGTGAACTGTCAGGCCAATACGGTCAGATACCATTTCATGCCGCGGGACTGTGCTCATCCCTCCCTTAAGACTCCCAAGACCTAGCCAATGAGATCAAGAATGAGACCACTCGCCTGGCTAGATAAGAAATCCATTATTGCCAGACATCATGCAAAGTGCAGTGCCAGGACCTTGACAGGAGCAGTAGGTCTCTGTCGTTTCACCTGACTTCAATCCTCCAGCCTCTCTCTGGAAGCAAAAGCCAAGACTGAGGACTTGCCTTTCAACGGTGCCAGCCTATTTCATGAAGCAATGGATGACTGTGTGGTCTCTGTACAAAAGGACAGGAATACTGCTTAGTACATGGGACTGAGTCAGACCCCCACAGTGAACTTCCTGTTCCTACCAGCCTTGCCCACACACTACCACTACTGCTAGGCCTCCCAAACCAGGCATACTGATGCTATGACATACATGCACCAAGTCCACAGATGCCAAGAAGACTCTTAGACAACTGTGACTCCTTTACCAGCCTGTTGTCTCCTCCCTGTTTCAGCCATTTCTGCACAATTGTGCTGACATCAACTCAGATTTGTTGGTGCTTTCCATCTTTCTCCGTGAATACCAAATTGAGTTCCTTCCCCTGGTGCCATAAAGAGGACCACTCCTTCTGAGGCCATTCGCAAAGAGATCTCCTCTCTGTTCTAAAAGGGAGCCGTAGGATGGGCACACCCTCAAACTCCTTAGGTAGAAACTCCAGATACTTTACAGTTCCAAAGAAGGATGGAGGCTTTTGGCCCCCTCAGTCTCAGGGTGGTCAGTCAATACATCAAGTCCTTGCTCTTTCAGATAGTCTCGCTCCAATCTATCCTACCATTGCTATGCAAAAAAGGTTCTGTTCCCCTCAGTGGACCTTAAAAATGCTTGCTTCCATATTTCAACTGAGGAGTCCTACAGGTATTTCCTCCACTTTCAAGTTGGAGAGAAACTTTTTGAATTCACCATCCTTCCCTTTGGCCTAGCAATACTGTCACATCTATTCACAAAGTATATGGCTGTTCATTTGTGCCCACCTCCATCTCAATGACATCCATGTATCATCCTGTCTTGATGATTGGCTCATTGTCGCCCCATCTTGAGAAGCCTTGAGACAGGCTACTGAATTAACATGCAACTTGCTTACCAAGCTTAGCCTCTGCATAAGTCAGATTAAATCCTGTCTTTCCCCTATATAGTCTATCCATTTCATCGGGGCACGTCTCAACTCCATCTCAACGAGAGCTTTCCTAACAACCAACAGGCTGTCCACCCTCACCAGAAATATCCTCTGTCTTAATCAGAAGGACTCTGCTACTGCCACCACAATCCAGTGGGTCCTCTGCCTCATAGCCACTTCGATAGCTCCAACTCTGGATCTAACCTGCTTTGATATCAGAAGTGAGCTCACATGACCAGACTTTGAATTCTGCCTTGAATCCAGAAAGACCTCTGGTGGTGGATGGACAAAGCCAATATTGCCATTGGAGTCATGTTCTCCCCTCCCAATTTCACCATATCATGATGCAATCCCCGTGGGAGCGATGGGGCCTCCCCAAAAGAGACTGGCTTGCCACACAGGACAACACTGCTTGCAGTCATTTCTGTAGAGGATCAGTGGGGGATGCCTTCCTCCTTCAGTAGAACAGGAGCTTTTTTATCTGCTCCCCCTATTTCCTCTTATTCCAAAAGTCATAGTAAAACTTACTATGTAAAACTGTTGGGATCACATGCACTCTATTCTCATCATGCCTTGGTGGCCCAGGCAGACTTGGTTTCCCCATCTCCTTGACGTTTCCAGTGGAACCTTCACACTTACATGCCTACCCCTCTGACCCAACATCATCTCGAGAGCAAGGGACAGTCCTCCACCCCCTATGTACATATCCTCTGCCTTACAGCATGGAGGATCCAGCCATTCCCGTCACACTAACTGACATGCCTCCCAAACTCCAGACACATCTTTGACACATCTCTGAAACCTGCCACTCTCATAGATCATACATTTCTAAATGAACAATCTTCTCTACCTTTGTGATAGAATGCAGGTTGCAACCAGGTACAGCTCCTGCTGTACCAATACTATTATTCCTCAATGCCTTGTACAGAAAAGGCCTCGAACATCTTCTATCCATGTCTATGCAGCTGTCATCTCTGCCTTCCACACTCCACTTCAGGGCCATTCTGTTTTCTATCACCCTCTCATCAGAAAGCCTCCTTAATCTGGTCCCACCAGTCTGACAGCGCACTCCATTCTGAAGCCCCTCTGTTGTTCTTCACTTGAAAAAGCCACTTGAACCCATGGCTTCCACAAGACTTCTGCCTCATGTCCTGGAAGCTGGCCTTACTGGTCTCTATTACCTTAGCTTGGCAGACCAGTGAACTAACTAACCTCCGCATCAGTCACCTTTACCTCACATTCCACAAAGATAAGGTGGTGTTCCGTCCTGATCTCACTTTCCTGCCAAAAGTATTCTCTGCCTTCCATATCAATGAGACTATTGTCCATCTAGCTTTCTTCCAGTCTTCCTCCAACGCTTTTGAGCTAGTTCCCCATTCCTTAAGTGTTCACAGTGCACTAGCTTTTTAAAAATCCAGGACACAACCCATCAGACAATCTCACAGGCTTTTCATTGCCTATAGAAATGCACAGCAAGGCTTCCCCATCTCCCCACAAAGACTTTCCAAATGGATAGTTCATACCATACTCCTAGCATATGACCTCTCTAGCCTCCAACTATTGGGCCCAGTTGGAGTTCATTCCACCAGAGCACTGGTGACCTTCACAGCCTTATACTGATATATCCCTTACTGATTTCTGCAGAGCCATGACCTGGTCAAATCCCTCAACCCTTTGCCATTTTCACCTTGATGTTTGAGCCAGAGTAGACTGTGCCTTTGGCAGAGCTATCGTTTTTTCTCCTCAAATAACCCCAGCATTCTCCAAGAGGTAAGCTTGCCAGTCCCCAACCCCAATGTGTTATACACAGAGACCATGAAGAATAAAGGCAGGTTTCCTACTGGTAACTGTCGTTCTTTGAATGGTCATCTTTGCATTTACACATGCCCACCCACCATCCCTGCTAGTGTCGTATATTGACACAGGTTTGGAGATGTCTCCCTCACCCTCTTCAGAAAAGGAAACATACTTCTTACAGTGATATTATTCAAGCAGAGTCTTCAGTGGGACCCCTCCCCTCACGCTGGGTATGCCCAGTAACTGGACTCCCACCAAATAATAATCAGCTTTGGAATCTTCCCAAAGTAGCTAGCTCCACAGATGTGCATACAGCCCATATGTGTGAATGCACAAATAGCCACTCAATATATGACAGTTTATAGGTAGGAAACCTACCTTTTTGGATTTCAAATCCTTGTGTTACTGGCAGGGACTTCAAAGGGTTGAAGTTTAATGCAGCTTGAAATCTACCTTCTGTCCACCCAGTCAAAAAACATCTGCAGATTTATCTTCTGCCCACTGAAATATATTTTTTTTCAAGTGTGAATGTCAGAAGCACAGCCTGTGTTTGCTGTAGTCCAGAAAATTATCATTACCGGCTCTCTTTTCTTTTGCAGACTGAAGCACTAAAATGTGTGGCACAGGCCAGTAAGAACCGATCACTGGATGATTTCAAAAAGGTAAGAAAGAATAATAGAGAAATGGGCTGTTTTTCTTTGGATTTGAGACATTTAAAAAATCAAATTTCGACCTTAAGAGATAATAGACCTTTGAATGCCTAGGAGAAGGTAGGGAAGTGTATTTACATTATGTCATGCTTGTGTACTTCGTGATGAGATCTGACACTCTGGTGACTAGGTTGAATTTAAGTGGGTTGTGATCTCATCAGAGCAGTGTAATTGCTGTCACATTTTCTCTGCAGTTAGTCACACTGAATTCAATGGGTCCTAATCCCTGGAAAACATATTTGTAATTGCAACCTTTTCTGTTTAGGTTCTGTTTTGTATGTCTAATTAATCTACTTGATTTTGGGGTTGCCTACAGAATTGAGATTCACTTTGCAGATGGGGAGACTGTTGGGGAAAGAAGCAGGGGCTGTGTTAGAAACAGCCCAAAGAGAACACAATTTTTCAGAGTTCCTTGCTTCTTCTCTTGAAATATGCTAATCATAGCTTCTTTTCAGGACATTAATGTCTCTGATCAAGGAACCTGGAACCTTGTTTCTCATATAAAAGTTCAGATTCTCAGGATTACACAAAAGTCTCTAGAGATCGTATGCCCTTCTCTAATTTACAACATAGGTTCTGTCCGGGTTTCTTTTTCTCTTGCACTTTGAATCTGTTAACAGACAAATGCTTTATACGCCAGCAGGAGAAGCACCCTAGATTTGGACAGAGTCTAGTTTTTCTGCACAAGTGGAAGCAGAATTTGTTTTTAATGCAAATAGAGAGAGTGATCAGTATTTCCAGTGTTCAAGGATAGGAGTTTCAGGACATTCATAGTTTTCCCTATGGTTTGCCAAGTTTAGTAGGCATGGAATATGATACTTAATTTAAATACATACAAATGCACATAATTTTGCTTTTCTTTGAAGAAAATCTTATATTAAATGAAACATGCACAGTACTGCATAATAAACAGGAAAAGTTTGCAGTTGAATGCCTTGTTGGCCCACGTTCGATGTGGTGTAGAAGTTAGAGTGGGATTCAGGAGGCTCAGGGCACCCACTCAGCCATGAATCTCACTGAGTGACTGGCCACTCACTCTGTCAAGCCTTTTTTGTGAGAATAAAACAGAGAGGAGGAGTGTGTTGGTCACAGGAAAAATAGTGGGCTATCAGCAATATACATATATAAAAATCGATCAGGTTGGGGCATGATCCTCTGTACTTACTACTGATTTAACTAAATCTCACAGGCTCTGAAAGATTATAAGGTGGAACTCAGGGATGACCCCATCATCAACACACATCTGGGCAAACTCTATGATAACTTATTGGAACAAAACCTAATCCGGGTAATTGAACCTTTCTCCAGAGTCCAGGTAAGATGCTTTTTCAGAGCTGTGTATCCCATCTTTCTGCCTCTAGGAAGTGTGGCCATCTACTTAGATTTTCAAATAAAATACTTTAAGCAAACGATCTTATGTCTCATCAGAATTGTGGGCACGAGCCATTGTTAAAAATATTGTGTCAGAATCTTCCCATTGCAACTTCTCTGGGTTGCAATAAAAATGCTTTCTGATACAGTTAGTTAGAGGCTGGAATTTCTGGGAAGAAAGGGTGGGAGAGTTGTAAACAGGAAACTTATTTGGAATGTCAGGTGAGCTACTGGTTGGTAGTTTCATGGATCCTTGGATTTATGAAATTGCTTTTGAATTCTGCATTGACATTTGGGATTAAAGGGAATAGAAGAATCCTCACATCCCCAAATATAGAGACTTGACCTATACTTAAATCTCTTCCTGTGTGTAGTTGACACACAAGGTATGGATGATTATTGCTGACCAAAAGAGTTATTTGTTGAAGGTGTGGGAAGTATAATTTTTTAGGGAAATATCACTGGTTTGGGAAATCTTGGGTGGTATTTTGGGGTATTAATATTTTTACTGGTAACTCTAATCTGCCTGGCTTGTGCTAGATGGTGTCTCTTTCATTATGGAGAATATGAAGAAAATGCAGCCAAGTGGGTACAGGAGGGAGCAGTTGAATAATGGGAATCCTACTTTAATTTTGTTAAAATTAAAATAAGCGGAATTATCTGCTAACAAATGTGAACCTGAGTAGTTTTATATAGCTGCTGCTGACTGCCTGTTGGTTATCCTTAATTGTCTGTGTGTGGGGGGGTGTTAACATTTGTATTTTATTTCCAGCCATATTGGCACCCTGTTTAAATTTCTTTTGCAGATTGAACACATATCTAGCCTTATCAAGCTATCAAAGGTAAGAGACAGTGTGCAACAGTCTCTCTAAGGTTATACTTAAGATAACTAGTTTTATATATCTGATACAGTCTGTGGAGAGGGCCAGCTATGAAGAGGCCACTCTTGTTAAAAGCTTACAAAAACAAAACTGGCCTAGGACTAAGGTGTCTTGGTATTTTAAAGAGGCGTATGTACTTCTGTTTTTGTACAATTAAGAGAGAAGGATGAAAGCAGCATTAATGTTTTTATTAAACTTCAGTGTTTGCTCTTTTGGGAATGTGTCATCAATTGACATTACGAGTGATGCTACCATGTGCACAAATACTTGCGCAGGGAAGAAAATCCATTCTGAATATTCCTTTATTAACTATTCAGAACTGTAAAATGTCCTGGAACCAGTTTCCCTTTAGCCATGAAAAATTGGTGGCTAGAGCACAACTTTTTAATGAAAAATGGCAACACCTATTACTCTCATGAAAGTATGCATACCTTACCTGAGCAATAAAAATCTAGAAGTTGCTCATGCTGTTCTAGAAACCATAAAATTCAGACTGGCAAAATCACCTGGTTCATAGTTAACTCTAAGAAACTGATCATCTCTTGCTTCAATTTCAGGCAGATGTGGAAAGGAAACTCTCTCAGATGATCCTTGACAAGAAGTTCCATGGTGAGTCCTCTTCCCTTTACTTTTGTAGGCTTATATCCAAGAATGAAAGTATTAGTTTATGCCCATCACAGTCTTTTGCTACTTAGCCTTTTGTGCATCTGTATCATAACAAAGGGTTAATGTACATGGAGCCAGTGACAAGTGGTTTACGTTAAACCTGATGAGCTCTTGCAACCTTTGGGACCATCTTAATCCCCATCTTAAAAATATCTGCATTATTGGCTTTCTTGGAAAGGAGTGGGGTATCCGTAAAGCAGCCAGCAACTCAGAAGGCTGAATTAAAACTTTTCTCTTTTGTCAGGGATCCTTGACCAAGGTGAAGGTGTCCTGATTATTTTTGATGAACCGCCTGTAGACAAAACATATGAAGCTGCTCTGGAGACCATTCAGAATATGAGTAAAGTAGTGGATTCATTATACAACAAAGCCAAGAAGCTGACATAGGTGAGGGGCTCTTAAAATCTACAGTGAGGGCCGTAACAGTTTTGCATCCCCTCCAAGTTGGTGGTTCAGTTGAATGATAAAGTTCTATTTTTTTCTTTCTTTCAGAGTTGGAATAGTTGGCTGATGCTTTGGAGAGTTGGTGCGTGAAACCTTTGGGGGGAGGGACAAAAGGATAGAAGACTGGTGGGGGGATTGTTCCCCACCCCCACCCCTTTTGCTCTACTTCTCACTTGGAAAGTTTTAACACTTCCTCATCTGATCCATCTTGTCTATACGATTGTGTGTTCCAGTTTCCATGTAACCTTTTACCTGCTGAACTTTGTACTGGGATGGGGAAATAATAATGTTTAAAAAAAGAAAGTTTCTTTGGGGATGGGTGGGAAGGGGCAGGGGCAGGGTGGCCGTGGCAGTATCCTAAATAAAAGGAGAGAGAGGCTTATGTGACAATTAAAAACAAACATGCTTCCCATTTTCTTGAGTGTGGCAGAAGGATGGGCTTAGTCTTTTTGTCACTGGTAGGAGTCCATGCACCAAGGCTGCTCCATAAATTGACAAAATTCCTACACAGGAGGCATTTCTTACGTATACTGCAGCATGATTTGCTGGTACACATTTAGTAAGGCACTGAAAAGTCATGGCTGACTGCAGCTTCTCAGTGTGAGCACACAATAAAAAAAGGAAATGAATGTGTGTTTCCACAACTGCCCTCCATAATATTGCATTCCATGTAGGAATTTTGCTATCTTTGAAGTGGTCAGTTAGAAATGGGGAGCTATGTTAACCTTATGTTCAGAATTGTGGGACTTCAGGAAGCCAGAATAACCTGAGTTTGCTAATTCGCAGCACCTTTAGGCTACTAGAGTCAGTAAAAAAATTATAGGTCTCCTTCAACCTTAAACACTCACTGTTGAAATTGGAGGCCTTAACAGAGGAGCCTGCTTGGATACATTTTTTCCATTATAGTAAAAGGGCAGGAGATGACCATGGTCACTTGGAACAGTGGCTGTGAAATTTTCCTGATTCTGTACTGCATGCTGTTCTGGGTTTTTTTTTAAAGGCTAGAATGTACTTGCCTTTAACTTCAGAAGATATGTTCTTGGAAGAACAACTGAGTTTCTGTTCCCTGAATGTTCACTTTTTTTAGAAATGGAGGTTTTCAGCTGGCTGTTTTTGGGCCACCCAGAGGCTTTTTTAAAAACCTTTTTGTCACCTCTTGAACATCCAAAATGAGAAGTTTGAGTCCTTCTAGGCTGAGGCTGAGGCTGCACCATTGCACACAAATTCCTCTCCCATTTTTCTGGTGCCATCTAGGATTTGCCATGTGATGCTTTATCAAAATACTGAATATCCACACCAATTGTCAGTGGTGTCCACTGGGGCAAAGAATATTGCAGTGTGGTGAACACTTCTAAACTAGATCAGCAGCTGGTTCCTCCAGTGCTACAACTGATCTGGAGTTGCCAACCCGGAGGCAAGCAGAGTGGCTGTGGAATTTTCTGCTAGTCCACATTGAGGAGTGGTGTTGGTGCAGCATCTTGGTCTACAACACTATTGCTTTAAAGTAACCTTCCAGTAAAACTAGTTACCAATTGTAGACATTTCAGCAGGAAGGGGGTGAACTTGCCACTTCAACACCTTTTCATTGGCTTCCATGTAGCAGGTGTAAAGTGTTTGCCTCTTAAGACTTAAGTCCAGGGGAGCATTAGGGTGGTGGTCTTGTGCGGGAGAGACAGGGTCCTGTTGCCCTGGCATTATGTCATTGAATGATGAAGTTATATTTAAGGTGTTGCTGACATCTGAGTAGTGTAACCTTCTGCATCACTACCCTCATCTTCCATTTCTTTTCTATGCTTTCTCACACTTATTTTGTAAAATGATTCTTCTATACCATTTTTTTGCATTCGCATGAAATACCTTAACTGGCTGAGTCTTCCTCTTTTTTCCATGTTGTTTCTTCCCCCTTTCCTTTTTATCCTCCCAGCACTGTAACCTTCTCTGTCTCAGCCAGTCCAGATGTTCTGGGGAGGTGATTTTTTTTTGTCTTGGGGGAGGGTTTTGGCACCATGTATTTCAAATGTACAAATGGTTCACGCTAACACACACCAGGTATATCTGATGTTCAGATGGCATACAAATAAAATCTTCTTTTTCAAAAAGACTGTTTTATTTTCAATTGCAGAGACAAAGTATATTTACTGGGGCTATCAGTGACATAATGTGACTTACTAATAATCATCTATAGCTACTTTTCCTCATAGAACAGCAACTTAGTTTAGTGACTGCCTCCTTACTTACAGTTAGGGATTTCTAAGATCAGTCAAGCAGCTCTGACTTACTCCAACCTTGTGTGTTCTGATAACAAAGACTCATGGAAGTGTTCATTTGCAGCTTAGCAACAGTGGAGCAATCTTCTGCCGGGAACCCACCAAAAATCTGAGTCTCTTTGGGCATTTTAAGACTTTCCATCTGAGCTGAGTGATGAAACACTCAAGTAGCTATGGTAACAGGAAACATGACTGGTATGGCAGTTGAGAGTATGAAGTCTCTACTTTTAATCTCAGCTGTGCCAGAATTATATGTAATACTTCCTTTACTGCCTTTCCACAAAAGTCACCAAGGGGTACAGCAAATCAAATCCAACAATAGTACAACAAAACTACACTAATAGTATTATGTGGCCTTAGGAAAATTGTTATTTTTCAGCCTTAAACCCGTCTTCAGCGTAAAGTTGTCACCTTTATAAGGGTTGTAAGATTTATTGAGAATACACTGCAGAGTGTGGGTTCGCTGAACACTTCATGGTATGCCTGACAGATGATCAGCTTTATCATGGGTGGTTCTTTCCCCAATACCCACGTGGTCTTAATATCGTTAAGTTTTTTGCAAAGAAATGTATCTAGAGTTCATGGTTGTGAACTAAATATGAAATTTGCATATATTCTCACTGCCTTGCTGTGGACTCTGTGTCTGTTTCTATATGAAGTTATGTGGACACATTGCTGGCACTGAATTTTTTTTTCCAGAGGATGACAAACCAAGAGTACCCTTTGGGCATTGGTGGAGGGGTTGTTACTGACAGCAGCAAAGGTGAGGTTGCCCAGAACGGCAAGGAGCTTGTGCCATTCTCACTGAGTGGTTCCCTAGTTGCTTCTCATAACTGATGATGGACTCTGTCTGCCAGGTTTTTGGGGTACATGACAATGCCTTCAACCCCTAGAATGAGCCTTGCATTGTCATGGGGCCTGGTTGCTCCCAAATAATCCTCTCTGCAGGAAGAGGTCCAGGTTTGGTGGCAATAGCCTGCCATCATAGTTACACATGATGAGTTGACATATGGAACCCCAGTCTATATGAAGCAATCTGAATACTTGAAACAAAACAGTAACAGAAGTATGTTCCAGGGTAGTGCTGAACCAAGGATATAAGAAGTGAAAGCAAAGTTTAAGAACTTATTTCTAAATCTGGTTGATATCAGGGACTTGATTCTGAGACTGTGTACCCTGCAAATCTTGTCTGTGCCCAATGGTGCCATCTCAAGAGCAAGCTTCACAGGCTCAACATCTTACACATTTTAAAGACCCTTTTAAAAGTTTGTGAGCTTTCATAATCTTTAGATGTTATGTTATAGATGACATCACCAATGTGAGTTAATGTGGATGCATCTGCTGAAAGTAATCTATATTTGAGGGGTCTGTGATCTTCCAGATGTTGTGCTACAGCTCCCATTTTCCCTGCCCATTGGTCATATTGTCTGGGACTGATGGAAATGGATGTCCCAGCAACTTTTGGAGTGCCCATGGATTACTGTTTCTGGTCCATCTTTTATCCAAGTCCATGCAGTATTTGGTGTTTTTAGATTTAAAGATGTTGCAGGACTTTATCTTGATTACAAGTAAATCTTAAAGTTTTGTTTTATCTGCTTCAGTTTAGCCTAAGCCTTGGGGGATCTGGATTCTAGTCTTCACTCAGCTAGGAAAATGGTTTTGTGCAAGTCAGTGACTCAGCCTAAGCTGTGTCACATGGTCGTTGTGAGGATAAAATAGAGCAGAGGAGAGCCATGTCAGCCATCTTGTTTTCCTTGTGAGAGGGAAAAAGGCAGCATGTAGATGTTACAATAAAAATGTTATCCTGATTTTCAGACTTTGGTATTTTGGTTGACATCAATAAAAGAGGGTCTGCCAGTCAGTCCTATGAATGAAAATAGGAAATGCAGGGAAAGAGTGTGGTGGGAAAAGAAAGAGGGAGATCACTTTTTCAAGGTCAGAATAAAGTGGTGAGCCTAAAGCCGACATTTAAATGCACTTTCTTCAGGCTGATCTCTTGCTGGTTTTCTTGTTTGATAGCCCAATGTGTATACCTGCCACAGCTCAATTTATAAGTGCCATCAAGGGATGAGTATTTTATTCGCCTCTACTTGCTCAAGTGGTGATACATAAGCTTTACAGATGGTGATGTGTTTTAAAATGACACTTGTCTAGGCCAGTGGATAGTAGCAGTGTCCAGCTCCTGGGTTAAATCATACAAGCAAATAAACACGCCACTTCTGGGGTGACTTCATAACCCCAGGAGAAAGTACCTGAGGCTATAAAAATGCAAAATTCTAAAAGCCTTTCTTCTGGCTGGAATCTTCCCTCAAGGAATTGCAATCAGGTATGTATTTCGGCTATCAGCAGGTAGGGTGATTTATGCTTTAATTCTTCCTGAGGCGATGCAGAGCAAGAAAGTCCGTATAACAATAACAGGCCCATTGACTTCTCTTTGCATAAGAATGGTTTGGCCTACTAACAATAAAAAATTCATAGCACAGCTGTCCCTCAATGGATTTTCATTTTATTTGTTGAAGGTTTTAGCTTAGTTACCTAGCTTTAAAATGAAGTTAAGATGATTTGCACTTTGCTTTGTGCCTTTGAGAGGCCCTATTTTGGGGGTCACAAAATTACCCAGCCCTGCCTTTTCTACGGAGTCTCCAGGGTGACTTTCTCACCTTGGGCATTTTTCTTTTATTTTAAAAAAGGAAAAGTTGGGAAGTTAAAATTTGGGGACATTTTCGACCAGAAACTTATCACAAAAGACAAGTTGGTAGGATTACTCATCTGCAAATTCTAGTACAGAATGTGCATCTACTACCAAAGGACTTTGGGTACCATCCTCACAATGCAGGATGAAGCTACAATTGACCCAGTATAATTTTCAGAAGGATGTAACATGCCATAAATAATATTCAATATTTGTATTCTGCTGTATCAAAACTAATATCAAAAATAACCAATAAAGGCCATCCCTTGCCCTATCAGCCTGAGCATCACTCAAGGCTGTAGTAAAATTCATCATGCTTAAATGTCTTCTCAGTCCCTTACTCTCAATCATTCTTGTAGACTGTTAGGATACTGTTACAAATCTACAGCATGGATCCTCAAACTACGGCCCGTGGGCCGGATCCGACCTGCCTTGCTGATTTATCCAGCCTGCCTCAGAGCTTTTGAACTCGCCCGGAGAAAACTATCTCTGAGCGAGTCCAAAAGCTCTGAGCTGGCACAGGTGTACTCAGTGGGAAGGCAGGCGCAATCGCAGGTGTGCTCATGCAGGGAACACAGGTGTGATGGCGGTCGTGCTTGGGGGGCGGGGAAGCTGCAATCATGCTGGGGGTGGGGGAGAGACGGCCATGATCGTGCCTGCCTTCCCTGCACGAGCATGCCTGCAAGCACGCCTGCCTTCCCTGCATGATCGTGCTGGGTTTGAGGGTTTGGAGATGGTTGCAATCGCGGTCGCAATTGTGCAGGGAAGATGGGCACGATCGTGGTCGTGCTTTGGGGCGAGATGGCCGCAATCGTGCCCGCGTTCTGTGCACAAGTGCCCCCGCGCCCACTGCCACCGCCTCGCTGGCCTGCGCCCACCACTGCCGCTGCCACCTTTCAATTGGTCCCCTGTTGAAAAAGTTTGAGGACCCCTGCTCTACAGGGATCCAAGCTCTAGGTTAAGAAAAGTGCACTTTGCAATCTGCATTAAATTAAGCAAATATGTATATTTATTTGCTAGTCAAGATTCGAACAATATGTGTTCTAGGAAGCTAGACAGTAATGGGAAGCCCAGTATGTGAAGCCCTCTGGTTTCTGAAATGTCCATAGGCATTGCCTTGTGCAGTTTCAAGTATATCTCTTTAATCATAAAGATTAATAATAAAGGTATTTTCTTTAAAAGAACAAAAACTCACATTTTTAGAAGCTGAATTTTTAACCCAATCAACCTTACCCCAGATACAAAATTATGGGTTGTTTGCTCATCACACTAAGCAATCCTGGGTAATAATCCATGGCGAACCCAGCAGACAATCAGAATGAACATGGATCCTTCCATGCATATGAGTTGTTCCCCCTTCCCTCCTATGATGGTGAACTATTTCAAATCTGCTTCAGCTTCCCCTCCCACTTTTATACTTTGTTCCCCCTTTTGACAGCTATGGGCAGTTTCTTTAAAGTGCCCCATCTTGGAAGGGCTGCCAGTGGATTCCCAAGTTTGTAAAAAACAAGGGGTGGAGGTAACATTAAAAATAGTTATTTTAAATTAGATGCAGTTGTACAACTGTGGGAATTTGAAGCCTCAGCTGGTCAGCTGCCACAGTGTTCAGGGCACTGCTTGCTGCTAAGTAAGATGTGGCAGCTACCAACACAGGACATTGGCCTTTTCTTCCTCTCAACAGCTGATAGAAGGCTAGCCAGCAAAAAAACCAAAGGCACCCCCCCCCTTATTTGGAGGGGGGAGTTTATAACCCACTCACAACAAAATCTCCCCACACTACCACTTTAGTTTCTACTGTGGTACATATTTTGAATTGTATATTGCCCAGAGAACCCTGAACGGCTAAGAGAGTGGTTTATAAATGTAATAAAATAATACATGTGACTAGCCAAACCCCCACCCCATCCTTTTTTCTCATTTTCTGAGAAGTGCCACTGATAGCTATCAAAACAGGACTGTGATAAAGAAATAAAAAGTTAAAAACTTTGGCAAACTTTTCGTTTGTGATCATGGCGAGGAGGGAAAGCTGCTTCCAGCTGTCCCCAAGTGCTACATTGGCACCCAGCATGTGATATGAACCCTGGGTACCCAGGAAGTTTTGCTATATTTGTCATGGGGCTCTATAGTCAGTTCTCCACAC